GAGTGGAACTGACTGTTGTAAATATATCAAATTACAGTGTTTATCTGTTGCTGCCATTAAACAGTCTGCCATTTTCATACATGCTCCCCAAACTTGCTTTCAAAAAAGACGTTTGAGGGAAGAGAGGGCAAGAAACTGAAGCCATTCGCCTTATTAGAAGTCAGTGTAACATCAGAATGATTTTGAAACTGATATTTCAAGGAAAAAATCAAATCAAATCAAATAAATAATTAAAAAAATTGCAATGATTTTCCGAATTGGGCTACTTTATCACTGTTGCCGCGGGTTGAAGCGACCCCAATAATGTGTATTTTAGCCCCCGGAACGCGATTTTTACCGGGGGACCGCCTCGAAACGCGGTTAGTTTGGGCTAGTTTTGAGTAGCAATTGGGCGGGTTTTGTTGTGAAAACCTGGCAACCCTTTCAGTCAAGCAGGTAACTTTATTGTTGCTAACATAGCGGACTCATCGAAAAATACATTGGCATCATCTGTATTAAAGAGAAAATAATCACTTCATCCGATGTTTAATTTAATAAAATAGCCTTGACAGCCTTACTTACCGGAGTTCCACAACTATTGGCTTTGTTCTCTCTCACCGGACGCGTGTGTGTGTAGGTGATGTAAACGAGGAAAGCAGGCATTTGGACCAAAGCACTGTGAGTGAGGCAAGGGAGGGGAGACTCAAAATGTTTCTAAACTTAAAACGCATTTTTACCCCGTTTGTGTTGTTTTACTACTTACACAATTATTTAAAGTATAAAACATTGTTATTTACAATGCACAGCGTGGTTTTTAATCATATATTTTTAGGGGGAACAACCCTCAGGTAGGGGGTCCTGTCCCCCCCTGGATTTCCGCCTATGCATGTAAATGATTGATAAATGTAAGATCATTGGAATGTAAGCATTGTGACAGGCCAGTGGATCTTCAAAATTCATTCAGAAAACCTAATGTGACCTGATAAAAAATTACAGAAAAAAATAAATTATTTGGTAAAAAGTCAAGATAGACAGATAGATAGATAGATAGATAGATAGATAGATAGATAGATAGATAGATATATCAGCAGTCTTTCTACTTTCAAATTTCATGTTTAATTCAATGTTTCAAAGCCATTTTTCCAGTGAATTTTGTTATTTCTTTGTAAAACATACTCCAATAACCATTGTTTTATTTACAATTTTTAACAATTGATTAACAATCACGAATGCACAAAACTCTGAAAGCTTTTATGAAGTCTTTTGTAAAGTTTATAAACCTCTGCAACAGTGTCAGTCATCAGATCACCATCCTGTACTCATCTGGCTTCAAGTCAGAATGAAACCGCATTTTACTTCCATAATGTTTAGTGATGATGAAAAAAATCTAAATAAATTGTTGCAAAACATTCTGTGAGCAAAGGTGGTTTAAATTGTGTATTTCTAGAGGGCGTCAGGCAGTAGCAGAGTAACATTGAGATGATTCCGAATGTTAATGGTTACATTTTGATGAAAGACTTTTTTTAAACATTGTCAAATTGATGTAATTTTTTTAAATTTTATTTCTAGAGCAACCGGCTGGTGTTGCTATTTGTTAGTCTTTTGTATTCATCCAAAATAAGCTGAATGAATTTGAAAGTTTATTTAAGCGCCTGTCCCAGCCTGCCCAGAGACTGGAACAGAATGGAATTTGAAACGTTTTAGCCAAAAATGTTTCCATGGTAAAGGTGTTTTTTGCAGAAACGTTTCAGATTTCATTCTGTTCTCCGACTACGGCTGAAGTAGGGGTGGAATGTGGATCGATAACCAGGTGAGTAACTGTTACTACATTTTGGGATGCCAACACACGGATACCTTGTGAGTTACCTTGCTGTTTTTCTTATAAAACAGCATTTTTTTCTCTGTAAATTCTGAAAACAGATCAATCCAGAATGAATGTTTAATGGCAAATATGTTGAAGATTAAGCTGTCAGTTAGAGTAGTATGGTAGTATATTATTCCGAATTCATCCCATTTTTAAACCGAGTTTGTTGCAATGCATTCTGGGATTGCATCCTACAAGTTATCTTGGCTATGATGCATTAAATGGGGCAGTCGTGGCCTAATGGTTATAGAGTTGGTCTTGTAACCCAAAGGTTGTAGGTTCACGTCTCGGTATCAGCAGGGATTCTCGTTGGGGGGAGTGAATGACCAACACTCTCTTCCACCCTCAATACCACGACTGAGGTGAGACCCTTGAGCAAGGCACTGAACCCTCAACTGCTCGCAGCAAAAATGGCACACCCTGCTCCGGTGTGTGTGTGTGTGTGTGCACTTTGATGGGTTAAATGCAGAGCACAAATTCTGAGTATGGGACACCATACTTGGCTACACATCACGTCACTTTTCACTTTCACTTAAAGGGTTAATTCACCCCCAAAAAGGGAAATTGTCATCATTTACTCACCCTAATGTCATTCCAAACCTGTATGACTTTCTTTTTCTGTGGAACATAAAATACATTTTGAGAACTGTTTTTATATCCATACAGTGGAAGTCAATGGTCATCAAAACTGGTTACCAGCATTTTTAAGTATATCTTCTTTTATGTTCTGCAGAAGCAAGAAAGTCCTACAGGTTTGGAACAACATGAGAGGTGAGTAAATGATGACAAAAAGTTCATTTTTGAATGAGCTATCCTTTTTATATGCAACCTATTTAGGCCTCTTTTTAGGATTTAGAACAGGATTTAGTCTGTATCTGTACCGTGATCATATATGTTACCATCATGTTCTGTTCTAACATCTCTCTCTAAACCATGTGAGTAATAGAGCTGGATGTGGTGTAAGGGTTAGTGTATCCTGCTGTCCACAACTATCTGCTTCATCACGCAAGCAAGAGCTCAGAGCAAAGACAGCGACGTGGTCAACAGTCTGTGACCTTCCTTTGCCCAGAGGCTTCTGCAGAAAAGTGGGATAATGAGCATGTTGTTTTTATACTGTAGATCAGTAGTCCAGGTCTTAATTGCACTGCAAACATTATTTGTTCTTGTATGCTATCCTGATTGCCCACATTCAGCAAACAGTGAAATGAGCTTAGGGAGCCAATGAGGCTCACACTGCTTGCATTATTACTCAACATGATGTTTGCAGCTTTAATCAGCAGAAAAAAACTCCATCAGTGGTGTTTCAATTCCTGGTCTTGTTTTAGGAGTCAGGGTGGGGAATATGACCTAAATAACATGTTACAATGCAAACTGTATATATTCATCGCTTGAAATTTAGCCAGAAAATATTTTATGTATTACATAACCATGCAGTAATGACTTTTTAAATAGTTCTTCTTTGATTTTTCATTCATATTTATTACTTTAATTTGTAATTCAAAGCAACTGTATGTTGTTTAGCAGTATGTGAATTTTTTGCGACTTTAGTGTCCCCTACAGTTAAGTGAGTGGAACTGACTGTTGTAAATATATCAAATTACAGTGTATATCTGTTGCTGCCATTAAACAGTCTGCCATTTTCATACATGCTCCCCAAACTTGCTTTCAAAAAAGACGTTTGAGGGAAGAGAGGGCAAGAAACTGAAGCCATTCGCCTTATTAGAAGTCAGTGTAACATCAGAATGATTTTGAAACTGATATTTCAAGGAAAAAATCAAATCAAATCAAATAAATAATTAAAAAAATTGCAATGATTTTCCAAAACAAATTATATGTCTGACATGAGTGGAAACAATTGCTTCTGTGACATGAGACTTGAGTTATAAACAAAAGACTTAAAACAGAAGCACTTGATTTCTATATTAAAGCTCCAAGTAACAATGTGTCAAAATTAAGTCACATTTATTATAATCAATGAAGCTGTCTGCTGTCTTTTTGAAAGATATTAATAGGAACATTTTAATTCAGATAGAGCCCATTTAGTTAACAGTGACATTCAAAAATGGTGTTTAAAAATGTGAAAAACTTTCTTCCATCAAACAATTCTGGGAAAAAAATGAAGCAGAACAACTGTTCATTATTATTAGTAGTAGTAGTATTAGTAATGTTTCATGAGCAGCATATTAATATGATTTCTGAAAGATCATGTGACACTGAAGATGGAGTACTGATGTTTAAAAATTCAGCTTTGCATCACAGGAATAAATTACAATTTAATATACTGTATATATATATATAAATAGAAAACGGATATTTTAAATTGTAATAATATTTTACTATATATA